TATATATATATATGACAGCACTCACCATGCAGTAAAACAAATACATTTCTTCTTTGCAATCTGCATTTTGGTAATAAATAAGGTAATGAAAATCCCTCATGTCTCAGTTTTCTCTTATTTTAGGAAACTCTATGCAAAAGTAACAATAACATTTTTAATCTCATTTTATGTATTCATTTTAGTAACATAGTAAACCAAGTATGCACAACATTACATATTTTGCTTATATAAATAGAAAACTGGTTTAAAATGCTGTTTTTGACAAACTGATTTGAAATGAAAAAGATCACACAGTGGATGTCAAATTTTACCTGAACAAAACAATCTTTTAAGATGTTTGAAAATTTCTTTCATTTTAATCCCATATATGAATGGATTAAACAAAGGATGATATAAAAATATTTGTAATGTCATTATAAAGCGAATACTTTGAGGAAAATCAGACTCCAGCCGAGCTACAATGACATCATATGCCATCAAACAGAAGTAGCTGATTAAAACCAACAGGTGAGGTATGCAGGTCTCAGCAATTTTTTTTTGGAATGTTCTGCAGCTTCTATAGAACATTATAAATATGTTTGCATATGTAAAAACTGTAAAGAGCATTGGAAGTATTATAATAACCAGTAAAGCAGCAACCCCAAAAATAGCAATTGCTCTTGATTTCACACAATGAGCTGCGTAAATGACATTGTTGCAAATTACTCCATTCAGCCTGAAGTTACATATTTTAGCTTTAGTACTTAGGATTGCTTGTATTGCAATAGGACAAGCAGGCAAAATCCAGGCCAGAATCAGAAACACGTTCACAGTGGATTTTCTCATTATAATTGGATATCTCAGAGGCTTACATATAGAAGCATATCTGTCAAAAGCCATGACTGCCAACAGGATGAACTCTGAACCACCTACAGAATAAAACATAAAAAATTGGAATATACAAGCTGAATATGATATGATCTGTTTTTCAGATAAAAAGTCAATCAGAAGCTTTGGGTAAACAGTGGTGCTGTAAAGAATAGAATTAAATAACAAAGCAGCTATAAAGATGTACATGGGTTCATGGAGGCTTTTGTTTGACCATATTAAATACACAATAACAGAATTACTAAAGATTATTAACATGTAAACAGTAAACATAATAGAAAAATAAAAATACCTATATTTGTTCAATTCTACATAACCTCCAAGAGTTATGCAGGAAATATTTACCTCAATATCCATGATTTTTTTCAAACTATTGTAATTTTTTTATTCAATGAGGAAAGAATATCAATTCCTAGTCTGTGGTAGGTAGGTTTTTCACTACCTGACATATTGTCATCTGCAATCTGGTCAAACTGAATGATATGAGTCTGTCTGATTTTTATTGGACTTCTTCCCACTTATTAAGCGCTAATCTCTGGAGGATGGTCATACATTGTTTCTTCTAACCATAGCTTTATTCAGTCATAGAATTTAACAGTAAGCAAAAAAAGATGAGGAAATAAACCCAAGTGAAATTACCAACACTGTTTCAAAAATATAGATAAAACTGTTGAGGGTTGTTTCCCTGACTTTTTTATCATTTGTTCTGAGTGAAAAAGGGGATAAAAGTAGTGAGTAAGGTAAAAAAAAACTACTGTTAGGTCTAAATCTATTTGGACAGAGACATTTACCTAACTTTGGTTCTGTACATTACCACAATGAATTTTGAACAAAACATTTCAGATGCAGTTAAAATTCAAACTTTCAACTTTAATTCAGTGGGCTGAACAAAATGATTGCATAGAAATGTGAGAAACTAAAGCCTTTTTTAAACACAATCCCTTCATTTCAGGGGCTCAAAAGTAATTTGATAAATTGAATAATTGTAAATACGATGTTCATTTCTATTACTTGGTTGAAAACCCTTTTTTTTGTGTAATGGTCACCTCGAGGTGGAATAAACCGTTCCACCTGTCGTTGACCTTGGTCTCAGAAGACCTTGAGAGACAAAACTCTGTTCCATTTAAATTGAATTTAAGCCACAATGTGTCTTCTCAAACATAAAGAGATATTTTCTTTTTAGTAATCAAGATAATAAACAAAATAATATTGTTCTTTATATTTTTATATTTTCTTTGAATGAAAAGTTATCAATTTAAAAATCAAAGTCACATAATGAAATGAATGACAACCTATTTTCTTTCATTATAATTTAGAAAAAGAAAAACACAAAATAATATTGTTCCCATGTTTCTTTATTTGTTATATGCAAATAATTGTTTTAATTAACTGTTACTATACAGTGATGTGATGATGTGTTTTTCTGTTTTTATTTCTTCTTTAACTAAATTGATCACTATGGTTTAGTTCACTATGTTTTACTATGAAATATATATACATTTACACACACACACACATATATACACTAACCGGCCACTTTATTAGGTACACCATGCTAGTAACGGGTTGGACCCCCTTTTGCCTTCAGAACTGCCTCAATTCTTCGTGGCATAGATTCAAC